ATCCTCTTATTATCCTTCCTCTTAACTAATATACTGCGTCTAGACGGAGTCAACTGGTAGCCTGTCCGTTTTATCACTATACGGGGCATCAGGTCTCAGTCCTCACCTGTCTGGGTGGAAACAATTCAGACGACTTTGTTAAGCGTAGCTTCTTTGCGCGTTTCGAGGAGGAGATTTGTCTCCACGTGAACTTTAAGGGGCGTAAACTAAAAAAACAGTCTCAGTCGGTCGGATGCTTATAAAGTCATATTGGGTATGCAATTCTGTGTGCCACTGTTTACATAGGTAGATGTTTTCGCCTCTTGGAACAGTAATGGCGCTGTCAAACTATCCGATCTGGAGTCTGCATTCACGACTCAAAAGGTCACTAGACAATTACGTTCAACAGAATCAAAAGAATAGTGACAAGGCTAACTGGACAGGTGAGTCGTATAGAAAACAGTCGGGGATGTTCGACAGGAAGTCGTCCTTCATCCTCGCAGGTGACACCAATGTATTAAAAATTTTTTAAATTAATAAATTCAATGAAGTTTTTACGATTAACTTGTCTTCAAAATAATTGACCGCCACTGGCATAGTCGCGCGCGATTATTGACACGTGAACTTGGTCGTCCAATTAACGCGTACAGTAGCGGACTAAGTAGGACAAGAGTGAGATCACAAAGACAATTAAAAAGTAATAGAATGTAGCACGGGTATTGGGTATGGTGTCTAACGTCTCCCTAGCGCCGTTTCCGGAGTAGCTTGAAAAATAGATATCTATAGATACAACTTCTACCTTCGCGGACAGGTCGTTTGGTATCCTGTTTGACGAAAGGATTATTTTACATTTAACGTCTTACGGTCGCCCCCAGGAGAAGAGCGCATTCTTCGGAGCAAAACCCTACGGTTTGGCTGTCGGTACAACATTCAATTTCGTAATATGTCATGTAACAACATAGATGTTTTCACGGTCTGGAACGCTGCTCGCAATTGCGACCAGCATGAACTGGAGAAGGCCATCCAAATTGACTTTAGGAAGGCCTATGATAGATTGCACAAACGAGGTCCTAGGCAATCAACCTCACAATATCCGGAAGGCTAGTGATCTCTTTATAACGCTTAAAACCGTAATTCGTGTTCCTGTACCGCTAATCTGCTCGCATACAATGTTTCAACTAACACTGCAATTAGTATCGACTTATTTGATTTTAGACGACAACGATGATAGAAACAAAAATGAATGAAACAATTAATCTCTTGGGCCGGCCGGCTCCTCAGCTCAGCCCCAAATTGGGTTCAATATACACATTACGTTTCTTCCCCTATTTCTTGCAAGCGAAATTTTTTTGTAAAGTTTCTTGTCCCTTTCTATATTGTCTTTTTGGAGATTAATAATACTAATACCTGTTATGGATAAAAATCTCTACATCTTATAAAAAAAAACAGACTTCCTTATGTCCCGTTTAATGGAAACTAAAATTGGAGAGAGGGAGAGGAACAAACGGATGGGTTTTGGGTAGGGGTTATTTGTGAATAAATCTTTTCACAAAGGGCCCTTTGTTAACCCGGGTTAACAAATCTGCATTTTGTAAACCGGACAGAACTCGGCCGGGTTCTATCCGGTTAAAAAAATGTAGATTTGTCTGCGCAGATGATCTACGCAGACAACGTCTAGGCAGATTCTGGGCAGGATTGTTAATAGGGCAGAAAAACAAAACTCACGATAGCCAACTTCATGTCAAACGAAGACCTGGGCAATAAACACATGGAAAACAACAATATAAATACTAGAAAGTCAGGCATCATATTAAATAAAAGGGTATAAACACTGCCCTCGGCTAAACCCACCTTCGGGGGCCCCACGGAATGCGAACACAACTCTCGTCCGCTTTTCAGCTTATTAAAAGCCGACCCACGCTTGGGGCTCAAACAAACAAATTGTGGAATGTCAAATCTATACGCTCGAAT